ACAAAGACAGTTATACTATGCATGCAACTGTAGTGTCCTTTGTAGTACACGGCAAGCAACAGATTACACCATCGGTTGCATAGCTACTTCACAATTGAGAAATATTCAACTTGAAAGACTAATTAATATTAACGATAGAGTGACATGTTATCTGCGAATATTCGGTTTCTTCCCGTTGGAATATGGGAGATTCTTTTAACTTTCGCGCAATATACGACTACTAGTGAAGAGCAAAGTGTGGTGCGCGACACTACATCTGAGTGAGATCCTTAGATCATGAATTATTCCCGCCTACCCACTGCCTCCCTTGATGTATACTTGACGGAACAGAAGAGAGATTATATTGAATGAAAAGCGGAAGACCATCAGGGAAGAATGTGCCAGAAATCCATGAAGTCACAAGGTTGGACTTTCTAAACTTGGGTCCTTGTGGTAGGTAACTGAACTGACTGAACCTTCCTTCCTTCCATTCCATGTGGCCACTTTACTGAGACTATGGTTATGAACGAATATGAATCAGAATATATCACACTAGCACAGACACATTTTCCTCTGATTGTTTTCACACAGTTCTTCATATGCTTTTCTTCTTTTGTTTTTAATTATACTGTTTTCACTCTTTTGTCTTGCTTACTTGCCATGAAGATATGAAGGGTGTCAGAGTTCGGACAAGTATGCAGAAACGGTGCGTCCATAAACTGGTATTATCGACTAATTAATTAACTGACTGACTGACTAACAGGAGTATTTATGGGGGAATACTGTCACCACAGATTCAACGCCATATTGAATTTAAAGAGCCGCATTAATGAACTGAAAATGCAATGATCCGACAGTTTAAATCACAAATTGGTATTTTTGATACTATATCAGTAAATTGACTAGGAAGATGGAGAAGGATGCATGTAAAATGTGCCTAGTAATCGAGCTACCGACTATTAATAAAAATTGTACAGAACTGCACAGACTCCAGGAAGCACACACCCACCCCGGGATACATAACGCATGTCCGATTTATTCAAAATAATTATGGGTCTATTAACGACTGTAATGTGAAGGATTAAGATGATCCCGGAAAAACATGGTACACACACATATAAATGTATCTATGAAATGATCGTTGACTTGAGCCATGTAGGAGAGTGTCAGCTGTGTAGAGATTGTTGATAGTATCGACTCAAAACTATTAGTCATGCAGCAGATATGACTCACTACTCATCATCTTTAGAATTTTCGTTCAACTTCACCCCATAATTCTAGGTCAATGAAATAAGATTTCTACATTTGGATAAAAACACCAAATAATAATTCTCTCTCTCAAATAAGGATTTATGTCCACTGTATATTAGCACTGTTCTTGTCTTCTCTTTATGTCCTAGTGTCGAAGTGTAACAGTGAGAACTACTGGACATCTATTCAAAGTTCTACGTAGATTCGTCGATTAGTCAATGACTTAGTTCTTCAGTATTGAAATGTACGCCTAATAATTTACTATTTACAAGTAGGGGCTACTTTAATTCTACTTGCAAAATTATAACGGTATACTCCGCCGTATATGAATGGATATCGCAATCCAGAGCTCAACTTTTATTATTATATCCTTTAGTTCGTAGAGAAACAAAGGCCTTAGCTGCGCACCTCCATTGCGTTCGGTTTTCTGACAACTTTTTCACCCTGCTCCAGGTCTGTCCACATGCTTTCATCTCCTCCTCGCATGACCTCCTCAACTTTTTCTGTAGATTTAATAAGCGTATTTCAGAAATCAGTACAAACAGGAAATTGTTTATATTGATTAGTTACCCGCGATGGCGAGTCACCTAAGATGGATGATGGATGGATGTTGCAAACTTGAACAACAGGATTTAGTTTGCATCAACGCAAAGGGCAGCTGCATGACACCGGTTACTCCTCAGTGACAACCAATCAGTGTATCCATTACAAGAGATCAATGGTCAGGCCGAATAACTCAGTGACGACTTTTATGACTGCAGCACAGAATGACAACAATTGCTCCAAGGTCGCCTTACTGACGAGTGCTAACAAGTACGAAAACTAGATTCACCGAGTCCTTTCTATTGCCTCCAGCCATCTAACACGAAGTTATTTCGATGTTATTAAATAATTAATAGTTAGAATAACAAATAATGGAGAAATGAAGTAGTAGAGTGTATACCGAGAGAGAAACACAGCAACAACAACTTTTTTCGCTAAAAAATTATATTTAAACGGTTGTATAGGCTGAAAAGTTAAAACAAAGACTAAATTATTAATTGGGTATGAAGTATTAACAAAGGCATTTTTAAGATAATGTTTGGCAGACATTAGGCTGTTGTAACTGCTGAAATCAAGCACACATTCAGGTTATACAATTATGGGATAACAATATATTCTTAAGAAACACATGGTTCAGCTTAGTTCCAACAGATACCGATCAATTTATCCTAATTCAATAGCAGTTCTGTAAAAGAAAAAGGGAAAATATTAGCTAACATAAGCAGAAACCTTATTTACTATCATGAAATGATTAATATATGAATTAGCACTAGTGTTTGGTAACCTCGTTTAGTTTACTAGCTAGCTAGTTTTCTAACCCGTCCCAAATCCAAGGGTTAAAAGAGAGGGTTGGGCGGCGACCTTACAACACTAAACCAATCAAACTTCTACAGAAACTTAAAAGCACAACAAAAACATTAAAATACAAAAACTTTAAATAACAATCTTATTCTTCGCTGGAATCGGAGAGGCGAAATGACACAGAGAGCTGGTGAAAGCCTTCAGGAAGCCAGTCAGCCAGTCGATGAGTCTTCCCTTGATGAAAGCAACAATAAGAGTGGATACGTGGAATGTCCGTACAATGTACGAGGCTGGGAAGGCTGCCCAGGTAGCCAAAGAAATGCGAAGATATGGTTAGAAGTGCTGGGAATCGGTAAGAGCAGATGGAATGCATATGGACTGTGAAAATTGTCAACTGGTGAGTCAGTAATCTACTGCGGTCTGGTCGCCCAGACGATAACCACGACCACACTGAAGCAGTAATTGGTTATCATGACGTCACCAGTGGCAGCCAACGCCTTAATGCAGTGGAAACCAATTTCACCCAGGACCACAACAACAAGATTCAACTCAAAAGGAAGGAAGGCTGGTCACAATTATCATGCAATGCTAAGCACAGTGCTACAAACAATGCGGAACAAGATAAGAAGGAAGATTTTTACAGACAACTACAAACAGTAATGGACAACACCTCAGATGGCGACATCAAAATCCTTATGGGCGATATGAATGTAAGACGAACTTCAAGCGGATAATACAGGAAGAGTACTCTCATCATGGGTCGGGAGGCTCTCACTCAGAGAAATGAATGAGAATGGAAAACCCTTCGCATACTTCTGCAGTTTTCAATGATTTGGTAACCGGAGGCAGTGTGTACAAGCATAAGGATATACACAAAGCAACATGCATCTTGCCTGACGGACACACCACACACCAGACAGACTTCATCTCAATGCTGCTCAAGGAAGTGGGGAGGCAGCCGGTGGGATACAAAGTCGAGAAGGGGAGCATATGTGGGCTCAGACCACCATTTAGGTCAAGGAATGTTCAAGGTGAAGCTGAAATCGTTCAGAACAACTGGAGACAGGCCATTGTAATTCAGGTTCAACAGTCAGAAACTGAAGGTTGCAGCTACAAAAGATAGCTTCACTACAGATCAGATCACAGCAAAGTTAGATATACTAAGTGGTATCACTGAGAAAACCTGCGTGGAAGAACATTGGGACTAGATCTCTGAAGTTGATGTTCGAGGAAACGTGTACAACTGTCCTAGGATGAAAGAAGAAACACCACAAGGAATGGCTCTCAAAGTGTACCTATCTGGAAGCTAATAGAAGGGAGGAGGGGAGGATAATGAAAGAGATGATTCAATGCAAAGACGCACAACAGGAGGAGAAGCTTAGTTCACAGCAATGTACACTGCACTGAATAAAGAAGTGAAGAAGAGTTCTAGGAATGACAAAAAACAATCCTACGACACACTGGCTGGCGACTGAAGCAGTACAGGCATGCAGTCCGCAGGTCAAAGGGACCTCAGTACATTATATCAGATATAACCAGGCTGCTCGCTATCCGGGAAGAGATCAACCCAGATGATGAAACCAATGAAAGATCTTAAAGGGACCCTGATTACCAAGGAGGAGAAACAAATAAAACAATGAGTCGGTCACTTCAAACGTCTATTGAATCGACCATCACCTGAAACTCGCCCAGAAATACACCACCACCAACAGCACACACACAACCACCTGTCAGTGGACACCAGTCCTCCAACAAGAATAAAAATCCCGAGTGCGATCAAGCTACTGAATTCCGACCGAGAGAGCATCAGGGCCAGACGAAATCCCCCACCCAGCCAAACCACTGAAAACGGACCCAGAGACTGAGGCAGATGTACTCACGAAGGAGGGAAGAAAAGGTGCCTACCGACTGGAAGAAAGGCTACTTATCAAGCTACCAAAGAAAAGTGACTCAGGCCTCTCCAAGTTCTGGCGTGAAATGGTGATCTTGCCCAAGCCAAGTAAAGTACTAAGTTCTGGAACCCTGGATAGAATGAAAGATGCACTAGATGCAGAACTCCGCCAGCCCAGAACAAACTGGATACAGGAAAGGCAAATCATGTGTTCGAATTGCAACTCTACGCATCATCATCGCAGAATGAAGCATAGAATGGCAATCAAATCCTTACCTTAACTTCATCCACTTCAAAAAGGCCTTCACCAGACAGCGTTGACTGAGAAGTGTTTTGGAAACTGCATTGTGGATAGGAACTTATTTTGATATATCACACAATATTATACAGTAATATTAACTGATGACTATGTTTCGAGCACAAACTATTGCTCATGATCATATCAAGTCGCTCACAAAACGTTTTCCCTCATCTGTATACATGAGTGGAATCGATTAGACATTTGAATAAAAATAATAAATAGGATAATGTACTTTTATAAAAATAAAATCTTATCTATAATGGAGTTATACTCTACCACAGTGCCAAAGTTTTATACTTATATCGATTTGAAAACTGTCTTAACACTACGGTGTGCAGTGCCTCCAGTCTTCATCAACCTCATTCAACAGCTGACTACATGACAATACCTGCCACGTGTCAGGTAACCCACAACGTAGAGAACGAGATGAAGAAAACTAATCAATAGCAACAAAAACCAGCACCAATCACCATCATAGTGAGAGATTTAACAGAGGATACCACCTTCACTCATCAGACTAGGAAGCATCGTTTCGACTGCAGGCCAATAGCACGGATGAAGATGTCAAGGTCAAACAGAATCGGGAAGGCAGGATACGCACGCCTTCATCAATCTGCAACCAGTTTGGAAATCTTCTGTACTCCGCCTCAGCATAAAGAAGAACATTCAGATTTTCAACGCAAATGTGAAGTCTGTCAGTTCACGTATACGGGTCAGAAATCCGCACTGCGCGTCAGTCACGAAAAGAATTTTCAACAGCTTACAGACTTTTATCAACAGCTGATTTCCGTGGCTCCATACTGAAGATCGAATGGCCAGAAAGAATTAGTAGCAAGAATCTGTGGGAACAAACCAACCAAGATCCGATTACTCAACAAATACGTGGAAAGAAATGGATACAGATCGGGCATACGTTGAGGAGGCTGTTGAATGATATCGCGCGTGCAGGTCTCGTGTGTTATCATGAAAAATAATTACTGTTGATGCCTCACACGTGAAACGGTGTTTTAGTGACTGTGATTCATTACTTCCAAGAAACCCAGAGTACTTTACAATATACTTCGCATATTCTGAAAAGTTATTGGCCAACATATGCGATACGACCGTTTACAGACTAACAGAAAGCAGGATTAGGTTGTTAGAGGGAGAAGGTGGTGCTCATTCGCGGAACGTGCACGGTTTACTTGTGATGCAAGTGCCCCTCCTCATTTACGATATGAGTTTCCTCAAGTTAATCGATACACCTTACTAGGTGAATACCAACAAGCAGGCCTATTGCCTACCATCGATAGACTTATCCAAATTATATTGTGTTTTGTAATTTCAATTCCCCATTGTTATCAACACTTTTTTCCGAAGGTACTGTGCAAGGTACTACTACACCCAGTCAAGTTAATCACAAATACAAATACAGTATAGCGTGACATTCAGTAGTGGCTGGCCAAAAGTAATCAATAAAAACCCATCACCTAGGGATTTAGCTGCATTTTGACACTACCAAGACTAATTTTTAAAGAACTCACAGAAAGTCGTACGTACACAACTTAACGTTGCTTCCTTAAAATATTACTAAACAACATCTCGAGTTTCAAACTAACCACCCGATCTGATTGCATTAAAGACTTTCAATCAATAGCCAGTCAGGCTGCTACCTACAACATAGGGTCCAATATTGTATATCTTATCTCCACACAAAATTTTGAAGCAATGAGGATATAAAAATCACAGAAAACTTCACGAAAGGAAAGCAAATAGAAAATGCAGCATTAAAACCATGGTAATAAAAAACACAAATACTTTCTCACTACTTCGTGACATTTTGAGCGATATTAGCTGGAGTTAAGATACGAAACCCAATAATGTCATTTATAGTCTCCCACTCGATTCAGACGAACAGATTTTAAACAATATTATATCGCCAACTGTGAACACTAATATTGTTTGGCACCGAACTGTATTTTTAGATGATACTTCAATAAGTCTGATATAATTTTCAATTAGAAAGAAAACAAAACTAACCTAATATGAACGAAGTTTTGGTGGAACAGTTGGACAGCTTTTAGCATCTAAAGTAGCATCAATTACAGGACGATATTGTAATTTTACAGCACCAGTGTTAGGATCTTGATAGGATAAAGTGTGTTTTCGCCAATGTTCTTCAAATGGTTTAGCTTTTTGTCCTTCAATCGGTTTAGAATAGTCATATTCATCTACTCTACTGGCAAAATCTTCACGTGCATGAGCACCGCGCGATTCTTTACGAGCTTCAGCTCCTACAATAGTCTGAAATCAATGAAAAAATTAAACGCATACAACGTGTTCCCTTGATCATCTTGTTCTTCTTGCTTCAACGAAGAAAAACTTAAAAATTAAAAAACAAGCAAGATTAAGCGCCTTTTTTAAAGTTAGTTACAATGATGACAATGTTTACGTGATCGCTTATTGTTCATGTAAACAAACTTTATAAATGCACCTGATGACCATAACACCATTATACTTCATTGACTCCTAACTAATAGATAGGGAGTGAAGCGGTGGCTGAGCGTGTTGACCACTTCACTTATTTGGGAAACTGCATACACCAGTGCCAGTGGGTTGATCGCCGAAGAAATCTCAGCAAGGTTAGAGAGGGCTCATGGGAGGGGGCATTTTCCCAATTGCACCATCTATGGCGTAGACGCGATAACCGGCTGGTTATCGATCAACGAACGTGTGTACTGCACACTACCACCTGTTTAATCCGTCCTCCTTTATGGCTGCCTGTGACAAATGGTCATTGAGACATGAAAAGGTCGGTTACCTGTCTTTGATCATGGGTGTCTACATTCTATATCCCGTCTTAGGTGGCATAATAGGGTAAGTGATGGTGAGGTTAGGCTTCGGTCAAGTGCTAGGTAAGAAGAGAAGGGTGAATCAGTTGATGGGGTTATGAAGCTATATCGATTGAGATGGTCATGTCATGTGTTACGCATGCATTCCTAGCTATCCATTGGTCTCATCGACAATGGGCGATTTTAGCTGACATAGGATGGATGGGGTGGGAAAAGAGCCAGTGGTGGTCGAACAAAAACATGGCTTCCTCGGTCAGTGGAATCCACAACAGTTAGTCTAAGCCAACCTGCCACGTAGGGAGATGTAGACAGCCTGGTTGGTTGGGGTTCTCAGGACAGTAAAAAGCGATGGTTGGATGGAGACTGTTGGTGATATGGCTCAAAGTTATTCTCATTGATGGCGCAAATGCATACACTCCCTGTGACTTATAATATCCAATAAAATTATATCATTCTTTCATATTACTATTTTTATCGCTCACACTTCTGTTTATTATCTTTCTTTTGAATCTCTCTTCACTCTCTTCTCTTGCTTTATGCGCTACATGGAGGGGAAGTGGCAACTCGAACTGCTGCACAACTGTGCAAAGTTCTACGCTGAAAGCAGTCAGTCAGTAACACTACTGTAAACACATTGAACTAATAGAAAAAACGCAGGATGTGTGTGTGTGTGTGTTGAGGATGTATTTAAAGAAGACTATTACAGCAATAAGTCAAACTGTACTATTCAGCGTAGGAAAACATGTCTGTTTACTACCGTAAATTATGACCTGAGTAAAATTTCGCGTTGGTCCATCGACAGCACACTTGGATATAATCTCTATATCTATGACGTCCAAGCACCATATTATAAAACTCCTAAATACGTGATTAGACTAGCCGAAGTAGATTATAAAACCACTAATACACGTGTGTCTGTGGCCAAGTACATATGACAGTGAAGAACTGATTGACATTCCGAACTGTAAAGATGAATCTTGAAATCCCAGATTCAGACTAAGATCTTTTCAAACTGAGTTTTTCAACAACTTCTGATGAATGTAAGAGGATTGCTAAGGAATCTAATAACTTGTTTCCTGATATGATCATTCTTTTACTGTAGGATTCATTAGAAAAAATAAACATATAAACATGTATGATGAGAGGTGGTTAAAACTGAAATCAACACTTAAAGACATTGGCTGCAGAAGTAGGACGTTTTGTACTTCAAATTTAGATTTATCTTGTTGTATGGACATGGTGTGTTGGATAATCTGCAACCTCATCCAAGCAATCAGATTAACTTCAACGTTAAACTAGCCTGAATCTGTGCTGCTTTATCTATCTATCTATCTATCTATATATATATATACATATATATATATATATATATATATATATATATATATATATATATATATATATATAGAGAGAGAGAGAGAGAGAGAGAAGGGGTAGAGACCTATGATTTCAAATTAACGCTATCCAGTTGCCCAAACTAAAGCAGGACACTCCAAATCAGCTGGATGAGGCAAGCAATACGCATCAACACAATTCAGATAAACCGTAAAAAATCAATTATCACAGTACTTTAAATGATAAGATTATTTTTTCTGAATATACACTTACCTGTAAAGCGTTCAACATTAAATTTTGTAATTCTAAGGCCTCCATTAAATCACTATTCCATATTTTACTTCGATCGCTAAGTTTTAAATTATTCATTCGAGTGGTGTACAATTCATACATTTTCTTACAGCCTGCTTGTAGTGTTGGACCATCACGGAATACTGCTGCATACTCTTGCATTGTACGTTGCATTTCTAATCGAACCTAAATGTATTTGACAAAGAATAATTCAATGCATGTATTAGCAATTGCATCAATGAATACTGAATAAGGATCGCTTTACAGAATTTTATAACTAACATTTATTGTAAAGTAGTGGAAAGGCCTTAATAGATATCACACAAATAATCAGTGTAGAATACTATTACTGAGATGTTTATGCAGAATTTAACCTCGCCAGATTACTAGCTTGCTAGTTTTCTAGCCGGTCCCAAGCCCGGGTAAAGAGGGAGGGTTGGGACGTGGTGCTAGCAACTCCACGGCCGTAAAACAACCAAATCGCTACAGAAACTTCAACGAATAAATATATTAAAAATACTAAAAACATAAGCAATAGCCTTACTTTTCGCTGGAATCGGGGAAGTGAAATGACGTAGGCTGATGAAAGCCTTCGGGAAGCCAGTCAGCCGATGTGCCTTCTTTCGATGAAAGCAAAAGTAAGGATGGGTACCTGGAATGTTCGTACAATGTACGAAACTGGAAAGGCTGTCCAGATAGCCGCTGAAATGAGAAGGTACAGAATAGAAGTGTTGGGAATCTGCGAGAGCAGATGGAACGGAGCTGGAAGGTGCCAACTACCTACTGGAGAGACAATAATCTATTCCGGCCTCCCAGATGACAACCACGAGCACACCGAGGCAGTGGCTATCATGATGTCACCAACAGCAACCAAAGCTCTCATGCAGTGGGAACCAATCTCCTCCAGGATAATCACAGCCAGGTTCAACTCAAAAGGAAGGAAAGTTACAGTCATTCAATGTTATGCGCCTACAAACGTCTCAGAACAAGAGAAGAAGGAGGCTTTCTACAGACAACTACAAGCAATAATGGACAACGTCCCAAATGGCGATATCAAAATCCTGATGGGCGACATGAATGCGAAGCTGGGAGGAGACAACACAGGAAGAGAACTCACCATGGGTCGTGAGGCCCTTGGCGAAATGAACGACACCGGTGAACTCTTCTCAGACTTCTGCGTCTTCGATGATTTGGTGATTGGTGGCAGTGTGTTCAAACACAAGGATATACACAAGACGACATGGATTTCATCAGATGGACACACCAAAAACCAGATAGACCTCATTTCAATCTCAAGGAAACGGAGACGGAGCCTCCTGGACACAAGATCGAGAAGAGGATAAGATGTGGGTTCAGACCACTATCTAGTACAAGGGACTTTCAAGGTGAAACTAAAAGCCTCGAGGATAGCTGGAGATAGGCCACAATGCAAGTTCAACACTCAATTACTGAAGGACACAACCACAAAAGACACGTTCACTGCAACTGTCAGAGCAAAGCAGGAAACACTACGCGACAGCACTGAAGAATCATGCGTGGAAGAACATTGGAAGTCTCTGAAGGTGATTTTCAACGAAACGTGTTCAACTGATCTAGGAAGAAAGAAGAGACAAGACAAGGAATGGCTACCAACGGACACTTGGAAATTAATAGAAGAGAGGAGAATGGTGAAAGAAAAAATGATTCAAAGCAAAGACGGATAGGAGAAGGAGACGATGAGCTCAACTTACAAAGCATTGGACAAAGAAGTGAAGAAGAGTGCTAGGAAGGACAAAGGACGATTCTACGACAATTTGGCCACTGAAGCTGAGAAGGCAGCAGGTAAAAGGGACCTGAGGACACTATATCAGATAAACAAATCTCTATCCGGGAAGAGATCAACACAAGCGAAACTTATAAAAGACAGCCAAGGGAAGCCCATTACCAAGGAAGAAAAACAGATTAAACAATGGGCGGATCACTTCAAAGGACTCTTGAACCGACCATCACCTGCAACCCGTCCAGAAATACCAACAACAGCGCACACACAACTGCAAGTTGACACCAATCCTCCAACGAGAGCTGAAGTCTTGAACGCAGTCAAACTTCTGAAAGCTGGAAAAGCAGCTAGACCAGATGGAATACCCCCTGAAGCACTAAAAGCGGACCCAAAGACTACAGAAGATATGCTGACTCCATTATTGCAAAAGGTCTGGAAGGAGGGAAAGGTGCCTACTGACTGGAGGAAAGGTTACCTCGTGAAACTACTAAAGAAGGGCGACTTATGCGTCACTCTGCAAGAACTGACGAGGAATCATGCCCCTATCGACGCCAAGTAAAATCCTGAGTCACATCATCCTGGAGGGAATAAATGACGCACTGGATACACAACTCCGACCAGAACAAGCTGGATTCAGGAAAGGCAAATCATGTACTGACCAAATTGCAACTCTACGAATCATCATCACAGAACAAAGCATGGAATGGCAATCAAACCTCTACCTCAAATTTATAGACTTTGAGAAGGCCTTCGACAGCGTTGATCGTGAAGTAATTTGGAAACTACTCGAGTACTATGGCGTACCCCAAATATTCATCAACCTTATTCAACAGCTGTACGACATCGGAACATGTCAAGTGAATCACAACCGAAAACTCAGCGAGACGTTTGGAATAAACACAGGAGTCAGACAAGGGTGCTTATTATCATCAATGATATTCCTAATTGTGGTGGACTGGATTATGCGTCAGACTGTGGGAAACGAGAAGACAGGAATATCCTGGACCGACGCGAAGAACCTAGAAGACCTGGATTTCGCACGTGGATGATTTATCTTTGATGTCACACAAAATCGAAGACCTGCAAGCGAAAACCGACAAACTGGTCGAAGAAGCAGCCGGTGAAGACAGGACTCCAAGTGAACATAGACAAGGCGGAGGTGTTGAAAATAACCAACCAACAACAACAGCAGCAACATCCAGCGTTAATCACCATCAACGGGAGAGATTTGAAAGAGGTTACTTCATTCAATTATCTAGGGAGCATTGTCTCAACTACAGGAGGAGGAACAGACGAGGATGTCAAATCGAGATTCGGGAAGGCGAGAAACACATTCATCAACCTGAAACCAATCTGGAAATCTTCGTCACTCAGCAACAACAAATTCGGATCCTCAATACAAACGTCAGGTCAGTCAGTTCTTCTATACGGATCAGAAACTTCGCGGGCGGGGCACAAAGAATATTTCCAAAAGGCTGCAGACCTTTATTAACAACTGTCTTCGCTCAATACTGAAGATCAGATGGCCGGACAGAATCACCAACAAGGAACTATGGGAACAAACAAAACAAAAACCAATCGCCCAATAAATATGCAGGAGAAAGTGGAGATGGATCGGACACTCGCTGAGGAAACCGCTGGGTGACATCGCGCGTCAAGCCCTCGAGTGGAACCCGAAAGGGAAGCGGCGAGTGTGACGTCAGTGCAAGGGTGACATGGAGGAGAAAGGAGTTGAAAGAGTATGGACTAACATGGATGCAGATGAAAAGTACAGCAGAAGGAAGACAGAAGCAAGTGGAGACGTGCAGTTGAAGCCCTATGTTCCACTAGGAATCCAAGGGAGCAATAATAATAATTATGCAGAATTAAAAATTGCCACTGCCGAAAAGGCATTGTTCAAACTGCTCTATCTCAAGTCTTTCAAGTCATGTGCTTTTGAAAATGTTACAGTGAGAAGCATACATTGCAGGTACATTATAATACCAATAAGAAATATTTTCCAATGTTCAAGCATGAATGCAACTCAATAAGCACAAGCAGTTTCGTATGGCAGACAGCGAGTCATAACTACCACCTGAATCGAGAGAGAGACAACAGGGTTTGAACGGTAATCTGGTGGATAAAAGCCAATCAGTAAGCAATATTTTTTTTTCAAAAACAAAACAGGGAAAATTCATTGAAAGTAACAACAAACTGGATTCTTAGGAAATGTATTAGCAGTTGAGGATACCGCAGTATTCTCTCGTTTATTACTTAATGCCTTTTGCTCTTTGATCCTATTTATTGTTTCACATTGCTTTTTGTTCTTAATTAGATCTTATTCAGGCTTTACTCCAATGCACATAGTACTTATATAAAAAATTCCAACAAATGAAGGTAATGCCATAGGTACATACACAAATGTCGCTTCCAATAAAACACTCATCTGGATGCCCATGATGGTGTAGGCTGTGTTTGGCCCATTCACAAATTTCATTAAATTTACTATAATATCTACATTTTGCATCCAGTCTACTGTTTACCAACATACATTTATCACCTAAATATGAATTCTAACAGAATCATTTACTCTCGTAACTTTATTAATCATTTACGACCAAATGACTTTCATATTCCAAAGAAACCAAGGAGGAAACATCGTAGTGGTTGGCAGAGAGCTCTCAAACGTACACCAATACACTTAACTACGGTCCCCGTCATAATGAACACAAACTGTCGCTCTCTGCCAAACAAGATAATGTACCTACAATCCTTGATGTCAACTGATACGTATCATAACACCGCCATAATCACATTACAAGAAACGTGGTTGCATGAACTGTATGATGACAACCTTATCTCACTAAAGGACTTTATTTTATTTCGTCAAGACCGTCAATGTTGTAATAAGAAAAATGGTGGTGGCGTTGCAACTTTTATTCACTCCAAATGGTCTGTCTCAAATAACGTCTGCTTCACCTTCTCAAATGACTTCATTGACTGTATTACTGTCAAATGTCGCCCCAAACATCTCCCCAAATATAAACAAATCTATATTACAAACATGTACATTTCTCCTAGCTGCTCTCCATCTGATCTATCTAATTTTGCTGATGAATTCACCATGTTTGCTGCTGCCAACTTCGACAACTCTCTATCCGTTATTACTGGAGACTTCAACACCTCAGATTGCTCCTTTCTTGAAGCTCTTGGTCACACAAACATAGTCAAATTTCCCACTCGACTTGACAAAACACTCGATGTAGTTTTTACTAATGACGAAGGAGTATATGAAACACGTAGACGTTCACCGATACTTAACTCCGATCACTGCATTGTCCGCGTTTTGCCAAAAATATACAGCAAAACACATATTAAAATCTTCTCACACCTGTCTACGATAGCACAACAAAGAAGCTACACATCTGACAACCTACTCAATCTAAGATGCATGTTAAAAGATACCAACTGGGATCTATTCTATGAAAGTACATTAGATGACTCAATCACCAATATAATGGATTATCTTAAGTTCTGCCTCGACATATGCTGTCCCAAACAAACACTGTTCAAACGCCTCGACCGCTTCTCGTCTCCCCATCTCAAACAACTTCGCAGGCAAAAAGAAATGTTATATAAATGCAAAGACAAGTTAGGACTTAAAAAGATTAATGCTCAAATCAAATCTGAAATCAAAAATCTTAATGCTATCTATAACCAAACACTTTTATCATGCAAATCTCCTATCAGCATGTGGAAATTTTTCAATGAAATTACTGGCAATAGTAAGCGATGTAATGTTTTTCCCTCTTGTGATGTTAATGCTCTTAATCTGTCTTTTATACGCTCTCCTTCTACTATAACCACTTCTAACGTTACTAATCTTGTAGCTGATAACTTCCAGGACTTTAATACTCTCGATGTTTTGAAATGTCTTAAAACTCTTAAGCCCTCACATAGTCTTGGCCCTGATGGCATACCTGCATATGTTCTAAAACAATGTGCAGATGCTTTATGCTTTCCTCTAACTAATATCCTAAATGCTTCTTTCTCCGAAAACGTTGTACCTGTTCCATGGAAAGACATTAAAATAGTCCCTGTCCCTAAACCTGGCAATAGCAAGAACGTAAAGTTCAGACCCATTGCCATCACTTCCCCGTTTCTAAAGCTCATGGAAAAACTAGTACTTCTTAAACTCGAACCCTCCCTTAAAAGCTTCGAAGACCCCAAACAATTTGCCTACAGACAGGGTAGGAGTACTTTAGACGCTGCAGCCGTCTTACACAACAGTATTGTCTCATCATTAGACAAAGGTGCCAAATATGTCCGCTGCACGTTTCTTGACTTCACTTCTGCTTTCGACTCTGTACCTAGATGTCTCTTGCTAAATAAGCTCTCCATGACACAAACCGAGTCCTGGGTCACTAACTGGTTGCATTCCTACTTTTCAAACAGAATGCAGTACACCGTATACAAAGGCGAATCCTCCTCTGCTGTGCTCACTGAAGCTGGTGTCCCCCAAGGTGCTGTACTCTCCCCACTTCTCTTTTCATTCTTCCTACATGACCTACCATCTTCAAATGACATTAACTTTGTCAAATATGCTGATGACCTAACTGTATCTTTACCTGTCAAATGTCAAAGTGACTGCTCTAAACTAAATGGCTTCTTATCAGAAATCAGCCAATGGTCCAAGGAAAACGGTCTCACCTTAAACCCCTCCAAATGCCAAACAGTTAATTTCACCTTTAGGCACAAATCTGACCTAAACAAACTGGTTAGCACTCACGAGGTGTGCAACATAGATGGCACTGAAATTGAAACCAAGTCGGAAATTAAATACCTAGGCGTCACTCTATCTTCTGATCTTTCCTGGTCGTCTCATATCTTGACGATTTCCAAGAAAATATTCCGTCTTACCTTCTACATCAAGAAGTTAAGACATTCTGGTGTAACCCAACCCTTACTCCTACAATTTGTTAACTCCCGTATTCTGCCTATTATTCTCTATTGTTCCCCCTTAGTCTTTCCTGGGCTATTGAAGAAAGACTATACCTTATTACGTAGGATGTTAAAGGTTGTCAGCAGGGTAAGCAGTTTGCCACTTAGCCAGCTTGTTAATATTCTGGTGGACAGGCACATGGACTCATGTGAAAAATGGGCGAAATCCATTTTATCTGACTCACAACACCCTCTACATTCACAACTCTCCCCATGTATCTCTTCAGGGAAAACCAGAAGCCTATATAGGAAACTATATGCCCGCACTAGTAAGTACAAAAACTCATCCATACCCTACCTAGCTCGTGTTCTGTGCGATAAAGAAAGCATTAGGCGTGAAACCTTTAACTTATTAAATAGTCAGTAGAACAAATGGATCTCGTCTTTCCAACTCACATCATTTACAGGTACAACGTTTTCTCTCTACCTTTTTTTTGTTATGTGTTGTTTTGTTTCTCTTTTCCTTGCAAACTCTACTTAAAACATTCTTGTTCGTTCTTTCACACTCTGTATATCTCGACCATTTTGCTATCGCTTACGCCAGTAAATATGCTAGTAGTATCTACTTTTCTAACACCTTCAAACACTGTTTAAATTTTGGCTTTGCTACCGACATGCTAATATGTTGTTGTCAAAACTGACTGAGATAACCTTAATCTATGTAGAACTATATTTATTGTTAATGTAATAACTGGATGCAATATTGTAGTAAAATGCTGAGAATTCCATTCTGTATCACAAGTACTGATTTGGAATAAAGCTTATCTTATCTAATTTCAAACAGATTGACGTTAGAAAACTAGTTCAATCTACTACTACTACTACTGCAGCTAAATTTCTATTCCGTCTGGATTTACGTATTCACGAATATTTAATGCACTTGGAGGATGCCATGAAGATGCTGAACCAAGTCACTTGCAGATCAGAGGGTGTTCCTCACAGCCTCTTGCAACACCTTGATTTTAATCAGCCCATTCAAGTGAAAAGTATGGTGATGTGAGTCAGTTTGTTAGATATCAAGTCAAATAGTGCATGAGTATGTGAGGGATTCCACGTCTGAAAGTCACAAACTCATCGAAAGATAGCAGTAACCGATATACCTAGCAAGTTTTAGAAACTATTCCGCCTCATTCAAGTCACTGGCGGACAGTAGAAAGGCGTCAGTCACGCACGTATTTCGTCAATTATGAGCCCATAGAGATGCCTTGCAAGCTGGCCACCACAGCCATTGAGGAACTCTTTAACTGAGATGTCCTAAGATGTCACTGTCCAATATTCTCAGTCACACTGATCCACGACCAGTTAGCACAGATTCACCTAACAAATCGAAGGTCCAGGATGAACTCCAATTACCCATGTGCTGTAAAACATTCACTCAACCTACACTGCTTATATGAGACCTTCTCCGAAGATGTTAGCGAGACTCTAGTTAGGGAACTCATCAAATTATTTCAGAACGTATGGGAATTGAGTGTCTCATCAATATGGAATGAGGCCATCATCGTGTTTACCTTTCACAAAGACCTACATAATGCATGTAGAAATCGCCGATAGATAAATTTGTCACTAGGAGTGTCAAAACTACTGACTGCCATCGTTCTTCTCAGACTTCGTAATGTAAAATTAATTCACGGAGACTATAAATACATCTATTTTATGTTCAGTATCTGAGTGTCTAGAATACTATCACGATTATTGTAGGTGGGAAATGGTTGTATTCGTTTGTATTATGCGTGTATTCTACGCTTTGGAGAGGTGATTTCTTTTTTGATGTTTGACAAGGAAAGGTGTTTGCAAGATGTTGCTGTCAGCATTCTCAATGCTCCATACAAAAACCCTACAGGTAGAGTGGGCACATACTACTAGCTATTACCACCCCTTTTAACCAGCAATGAAAGTGCATAAAGTCGCGCCATTTTACTACCTCTGCCTAGACTTGCCATCAATCACATTTCAGGCATGAACGAAGGCTGATTTAAACCTCCTGTTTGTAGAAAGACTGGGCGATTTTGAGTAAACAGACAATACCATCTTAGAGTGCTATACCATACAGGTTTGTTTTCTGTTTATCAGCCACAGACTGGTTGGAGTAGGTGGAGGAGTGGACGTCTCATCACATGACGCTGTAGTTTGAAGGACAGTCAAGTTGAGTTGTCATCTGTCGGGTGACTCGGGACGTTAGCAGATATGACTCAGAACCAATATCAATAAAAAAACATTCAAAAGTTTCATAGTTTCCTTCACTCCCTAAGGTTTTCTTGAGTTAACTTCACAAATATATTCACTTGTTACATTCTCCTGGTCAGCTACTTTATTTCTCATTTCACTATACTATTGTTGAATTATTTTATGTGGAGCTTTTCTTGGAACCAATACTGTGTCACGTTTTTTCTCAGAATAATAATCCAAAAATAGTAAAAATAATCCTTAAACTCTGAAGGTCTCTACTGTTTTGCCTAATGGAAGAGGAATGAGGTGAAATTTATTGTTTAAGTTCCCCTTGTGAGGTCCACTTAAAACATCAAGAAGTTACAAACTGAAAACAAATCATTATCAAGTACTAAAATATTAGCATGGACATACTTGTGCTACTGGGAACTCTCCATTGGCTGTTCTAAGTTTCTCGTAGTTAGCGATCGAAGCTTCTCCAGCATCTGGATTTAATTCTGGACCAGAATCTCCGGGTTTGTGTTTTGAAGCGATATCCAATGCACATGCACGACCAAACACAACTATATCAAGCAGTGAATTTGCGCCCAGTCTGTTGGCACCATGAACTGAAGCACAAGCAGCTTCACCAGCAGCATACAATCCGGGAACAACTTTATCTTTCTTAGCAACAGGATCATACGTCAACACCTGTAATGAAATAAATTAAGCATATGGGAACACTTACATATCTTGTGTGATCATAAACAGAATTTTCGAAATAGGCTGACACATCACATAATGGATGATAGAAAGCGAAAGGAAACCTCAAGTGAAGCACAATCTGTACTGGCAATATCCAGAATATCAGACTGCAGCTTTGTAGGCTGAGTTATGAGACATAACTGTTAACCAAGCTTTTGTCAATAAACTAGGTAATTACCAACTCTAAACTTGGGAAAATATTTCAGTTGAACTACTACCTTCTACAGAAGACTACTCTTTGAAGACAGGAGTGAATTGTTGTTGCAATAGCTAGCATCTTTTTAAATTTACTTTAATAGACATTGACTTTGTTCCTTATGAAATGGTTGTTAATTTATAGAGTGAAGTGCTACTAGATCTGTAGTTGGTTCGCTAATCTGTATTACTAATAGTAGCTTTAAGCACACGAATGTGAGACCATATCCCGTTTAAGACAATGTTTATACATGTTATACGAGCTAGAAAATTAGTCTCTTGAGACCTACTTCTCTGTAAATTGACTGAGTAGTGACCAAATTCAATATATGATGCTGCACTTGCAAACACTTAGCAGTATAGTTACAGTTGGGGTTTTTTAAGCGACTTTATCGGGAATGATGCAGATTTACAGCCTTTGACGAGGCTAATTATGAACTAATGGCTTTAACTCACATTAATATGTGTGTGGTAATAAGTAATTCCATATTAGTTTGTTTATTAGATATATCATACAAAGAGACAGTATTATTTACTGGATGACGTTTCGAACAAAATTTATTCATAATCATATCGATTATAATAGCACGACTTTGAAACTTAGCTTTAATTTGTGCTACTAACGTAGATATAGCTTTCAAGAGATATAATTTGAAATCCAACACATGGTTGTATCCAATCATGAAGTTGCACTGCATAACAACTTAGAGAAAAGGTGTGGCTAATGTAAAAGGAGGAAACAGTCTGTATCAAACGCTGCAGTTTCACAGGCTGCGATTTACCTACATAACGTATATGTCCTAATTTGATAACAAGACTATGATGAGTGGTGTTACAATGAAAGCAACTAAGTAGGTAATAATAATAATAATGGATAAACTACACAAAAGAAAACAACGTTCCCAGGTACGGAAACACAACATGAAATGTTCCAATGAAGATTAAAAGGGAGTACTGGTCGAGGACAATTACTTTCTCGCTTTATTTCAAACTCTTGTTCGCACCAACTTCCTGTAGACTACGGCAAAACATATTCCCCGACTTATGCCATTTGTAAAAGACAGACGATTCAATATAGTACAGTATAGGTTACCACACTTTAAAAAAAACATGATTTCAGTGCAGTAAATTTTTCGGTGTGATACATAAACCAGATATCTAGACCGAACAAGCTGGTAAAGGGTCTTTCACATCTGAATAGTAACTGCGTCGCTACGTATTTCTTCAGAGTTCATACTATTTCTTTGATTTGGTACGTAGCAATGCAGATTCATTTGTGATAAAATACCAACTTATCAAAAGGTAGATGGAAATATAACGTTCCAAGGCAAGCAGGATCTCGTGAATTTTATTAAATTGGCTTTATCTTAATAAAGACCAGCCGCAGTTCTATGAATGCTGGGCTTTGAAAGTTAATCAGAAAACTCAAGTTTTTGAAATCTCGACACTGCCAAATATATCATATCAATCTCAATTTCACAAGTTATCTAGGTGATTGAAAATGACATCGTTGAGAAGATATGGATCGAGACGAAATCGTTAGTTAACACCGACAACTAAGCACTTTACATTTGCTTCTTTTCCTCACGATTTAGTCTGACTCCCAATTTCGTCTTCAAATTGTGGAAGTTGTGTTGCGCGACTATGGCTTTCCTAAACTAGTAATCCCTGTATGTATTATACTTTGTCCTTATATGCCACAACATTTTGAAAAAATAGAGATTTGTGGATCAGGTGAATGATTTTTATTTAGTTGTGTGGGCTTAACTGAAAAGATTTCTTGGTTCTCCTAGACAAAATCTTTAGCGCAAGCTTTAACACGAAGTGAACTTAATAGAATCACATGTCAATAAAAACGACCTATAAAGATGTAAATTAAAAACCAATCGCGACAAAGGTTGTTGGGAGGCAAACTTAGATCACTCGTGGAGAATTTGTATAACTTCCTATCATATTACAGCTTGCGCTGACGACAGACGGATGACGAAAGCTTTGCGATTAAATCAGCCAGCCCAGAAAACACAATCAAATAAAAAACAATGACATCCATTAATCAGTATCTAAATTGATGTGTCAAACAAAACCTTACACTATCTTGTAATAAACTGATTCTAGCAGACCACATATAAAATTTCACTAACCTGTCCTTTGTAATTCGTTGGGATTCCTCCCATATTATAGTGAACAGTTGGTAAGACAGGAATAGGATCTCTTGTTACATCAACGCCAGCAAATATCTTTGCCGTCTCTGATATCCCAGGCAATCGGCTGTGAAGTTGCTCTGCCGGAAGATGGGAAAGCTGCAAATATATATGGTCATTCCTAGGGCCAACACCACGTCCTTCCCGAATTTCAATTGTCATGGCTCTTGAAACGACATCACGAGAAGCTAAGTCTTTGGCGTTAGGAGCATATCTTTCCATGAATCGTTCGCCTTTGCTATTTATAAGATATCCACCTTCACCACGACATCCCTCAGTAATCAAGCACCCAGCACCGTAAATACCTAAGGATTTACACATAACTATACTCTTACCTGTAGGATGGAACTGGACGAACTCCATATCTTGATTGGGCAAACCAGCTCTTGTAATCATAGCAGTCCCATCACCGGTGCATGTATGAGCTGATGTACATGAAAAGTAGGTGCGACCGTACCCCCTAAAACACTAGATTACAACCTGAAACATACCCTGTAGCAAGAACGGTGTTCCTTGCACGGAAACGATGTAACGTTCCATCTTCTAAGCATACAGCAATAACACCACGGCATTCACCGTTTTCCATCAACAAATCCAAGACAAAATATTCAATAAAGTAACTAGCATCGTAGCGTAGCGACCGGCCATACAATGTGTGCAACAGTGAGTGCCCAGTGCGATCTGCAACTGCACAACACCTATGAGCCTGACCACCACGTCCATAGTCTATGCTTTGTCCACCAAAAGCCCGCTGATAAATTTTACCATTCTCCAGACGACTGAACGGCACTCCATAGTTTTCCAATTCAATAACCGCTTTTGGAGCTTCCTCACACATATATTGAATGGCATCTTGATCGCCCAGCCAATCAGAGCCTTTAACAGTATCGTACATGTGGTAACGCCAGTCATCAGATTCCATATTGCCAAGAGCTGCATTTATGCCACCCTGTGCAGCGACAGTGTGCGACCTAGTAGGGAATAACTTCGTAATAATCGCAGTCTTAAATCCTTCATTAGCAAGACCGAACCCTGCACGTAGACCTGCACCGCCTGCACCAACAACAACCGCATCGAATGAATGGTCAATGATGGTGTATCCACTTGAATGACTCAAATTCCTACACCTTGATCCCAGGCATGTGTTTAACGAATTGCTTAGTCTAGGAATTTTACTAAGAGAGCGCGACAAAAGACTTAGATTCACCATAATATGTTATACGTAAAGGACTGATTCAATGGAGGCGCCACACAGAGACGTCAATCAATATCCAATATGTGCAAATCATTTGATTTCTTTCTCTCCTCTGAACGTTGTTAGATAATTCTCAATTTTTAGCGAATTTTCGCGTTAGGCCAGGAGAGACTGCTGGTTTGAAGAAATCATTCAGAATTTTCTATCAAATGTAAAATCATAGGAGTGCAGTTTAACCTAATTTGTCGCGTATCTGAGCTTCCATCTTCCTCTCAAAAGGGTAATTCCTAAAGACCAATAATTCTGAGAGTTACCACTTCATGAAAAGGACTATTGCCCCACTACTAATTGGCCCAATCTGGCTGGAAGATAAAACGGAGAAATTTAGGGCCTACGATCACTTTATAGAAATCTACATATTATTGTAATGAACCTACCCTGCATAAAATAAGGAACTTTTCGTCGTTCCTAATGTGATAAGCCAGTTGTGCCGTTCCCTGAACTTTTGTAGCGGCAAATGATACCCCAAAATTATTGACCAGAGCACTCATCACCCTCACTGCTTGTTTAGCTGAAGGCTTCCGGCCAAGCATCCACGGCATCTGGTACTCTGTCGTGTCACGTTCATGCACGATCCCAAGCCAGCTAAGCAATCATCTCGCACTCGGATTCGGTCCCGAAACACATCTCGTAATTTGGACGATAGACTATCGTGTTTTGTTTTGCCTTTGGTCTACGCGGAATGAATACTATAGAAGTTGTGGATGGTAGATCTTGCATTAGTATACTTCGTACTATCCATGAACGTCAATACCGTCAGCCCCTAAGGACTAATTCCTTAAAGTCACTGGTCGGTAGTTTCGTTAATATTCATGATTGGGTGCTGACCATCACCACTGAAGTTCACTAGTTAAAATGAAGCTTACTATAATTCTGAATTAAATCTCAGTAATTCTGAAATAATTCTAGCATCCTATAGTGAGTAAATTCTGAATTTGTTCTGAAATGAACTGTTTAATGGCACAGGCTAGAACTCAGTGCTAGTTTTCAGCATGACTAGCGCTAATTCAGCACCGTATTCTTTTTTTTAGCATTGTCAGGAGTAGATCAGAACCTACTGGGTTTGCTTATCAGGTTTATTTCAGCCCTTTCAGATCATTTTCAGCACTGACTCGCATTACTTTAGAACGAAAAGACTTAATTCAGCACATAGTGGAAATTTTTTCAGCCTAATTCAAGCCTTTGCAGATCGTATTAAGCACTGACTCGCATTACTTTAGAACGAAAAGACTTAATTCAGCACATAGTGGAAATTTTTTCAGCCTAATTCAAGCCTTCGCAGACCGTATTCAGCACTTACTCGCTTTACCTTAGAACGAAAAGACTTCTACTTATTATCATCACCTGTGTCCTACGCCCGCGCAATTCAGAAAGAAATCAGTTTTTACAATTAAGAGACTTTTGTATTGATAAACTGTAGTACAATGTCACTGCCATCCCGTCAATTGCGATCCACGGGTAGCATCCTGCAAATAAGCAAAATAAAATATTAGTGGGTGAAAAATTGTGCTGAGCATTTACATTTGTCAATGGAGTTGAAGATTGAACGATCAATTCATGGTTGTTTGCTCAAAATCAACTTCCCCAATTTTCGCGGAGGCATCAATACGACAGTCATCGTCTCATCGGTCGCTGTTCAGAAAGAAGAGTGAAACATCGTCAGAAACCTTAGTTCGCTTATTCCTTTTATATGTTGGTGTAACAATAAACAAATCTAAAGCGGCAGATCAGTGTTTTGGTTTTTGCGTCCGTTATAACTAAGCGTTTCTGAGAAATCTTCGAAGAACAGCGTGGGCCCGAGCGTAGCGAGAGCTGGGCATTAACGGTTTATGAGACGTGATTGACAGTTTCTGACGATGGAAACAGATCTGGCGGATTCAAACAGTTGGTGAAAGTTTGGATAGTCGCCGTTCATTTTTCCTGGTGCCGGTCAAGTCCTCTTTGAACAAGCAATATCTGGAACTCTTTTGGAATTGGGTCAAGTTCAACAATGCCTGGGTCAAAGAAGGGACAGAGTGTCTTGGATGCAAACAGGAAAGTAAGTCATGGTGACTTGTCTGTTAATTGTAACGATGTGTCTGATGTTAAGCATGACATGGTTGATGTTACTGTTTCGCCGTTCAGGGATAATAGGAACATCAAACTCCCTAAATTTGAACCACGGTGTTTTGATGGAAACCCTGTCGATTATTTACAATTTGTAAAGGAGTTTGAGATCATGTTGAGTGGTTTTTTATTAAATGATGAATTGAAGTTAATGTATTTGATGAGATATTGCACTGGAGATGCTGCAAGAGCTATACAGTGCTGTAAGTTTATGAAGCCAAAAGAGGGCTACGATGAGGCTATGAGCATATTACGTCAAAGGTTTGGAAGACCTTCGATGATTGCAGGGAAATTATTCGAGGCTGTTAAGGGTAATGGTGGTCAATTACAGGATGACTCCCAGGCACTCACTGAGTTTTTAGATAATTTGCTAATTTACAAGAATGGAATGATTTCGATGAATCGAATGAGTGACCTCAACTCGAGTTTTATACTAGAAGTAATAGCAAGACGTCTACCTACTCGACTGCAAAGGAAGTGGGTGAAGATAAGCTCCCGTATGGAGGATGAGGGTATCGAGCCAAAGTTTGATGATATCCTGAAACTGGTAAAAGATAGTGTCAATCAATCTATGAGCAAGTTCGCCAGTCTATTACATCTCACCCCTAGAATAGAGCAGTCTGAGGGTAAAACGCAATCATTGATGACGAATAGGCCTCAGAGAGGTGGATATCGAGAAGGCTCCATGATGTCTAGTAATGCATATAGACCTAGTGAGTGTAACAGGTTTCGTAGTACATCCTCAACAGATAAGTTACAAGATGCAAGACAAACACGGTTGTGTTTTACACGTGTGCAAGAGGTGCATACAGAAGTGAACTGTGAACCGGTGAGCAAGTTCAGTGATAAGCTAAATGTAAACTCCAGGCCTGACTCCGAATTGTGTGACGATAACGGTGCGGTGAAGAAGTCTGTAGTTGCAACTGGTAAGCCGTTGTTGAATAAAGTGTCACAGAATAGAGTTGCTGCTTCAGAGTGCAGTTCTGACCCTACAAGTTTACAAGGTATTACTAGTCAGAGTGAAGTTATAAAACCTTTTATGATTTGCGAGGAGGAACCAAAATTGTCTACTTCTGTTATTAAAGAGTTTGAAAATGATGAAGTTGACGGTAAAGTGAATATTCGTGATAATGATCATGATACTTCACAGTTGTCTTTGGTTGATCATGATGAGATGAGGGATATGCCTACTACTGCTAAGTTAAATAAAGGTTCTGTACAACTACAACGTGAAGTAGAATTGAACGCAGATGCAGTTCCAAAAGGTGTGCATACTTGTGAGACAGTCAGTGTAATTGATCAGCGTGTAGCCCACCTATCATCAGATGATAGTGCTAAACCCGAACTAGTAGTGAAAGACAGCAGTGGTGGTAATCTTGCAGTTGGACAACTATCTGAGAGCCGAACAAGAACAGCTTCTGATCCACCACTAAGTTCATCACCTTGTGTCACTCAGTCATCGTTGGTGCTGTCATCCACAATGAAACAGACACCCATCAACTCAAGTATCTTGTGCAATGACTATGGTAGTATCAGTTCGTTTGAAAGGACGAATATCAATGGTCAGTTTAGTGTGGATAAGCCAAGTGTAAAGGAGAGAGTTATTGTTAAATTGACTTGCACGAATAAAGGCATTTCTAGTTTCAAGTTACTATTTGAATGTTATTATCTTTGGTGTAAATTACTCTGTTTCTACACTTGGTTGATGAGATATGTCGTGTGTTTGTTGGTCATCTATATTCTACGATACAATGACATGGGCGTGTTGCCGTTCAGATTTGAGGATATAGCTGATAGAAGGAAGTTAGCAAATGAACTCTGCGACGATTTTCCAACCTAGGGCGTCAACCTGAGAAGGGTTGTAGGCGTACTGCTGTAAGTCCTACAGTTCTTCAAAGGGTAGCGCATCAATGAGCAGTCCAATGTGCTTGGTGTGTGATTTTGTACATATGTTCATATTGTATATACTGAATTGATATCATCTGTCATCTAGCTGTTGGTAATTCTGTTTGTGTCCGGACGACTTCCACTTGGATCATCAACCTGAGAAGGAATGTAGGCGTACTGCTGTAAGTCCTACGGTTCTTCAAGGGTAGTTTGTCGTGTCAGAATCCACAACATTTGATGTGTTGATTGTACATATGTTTGTGTTAAATAGTTGTGTGAGTTCCAATTGATGTAATTGTTGGTTAATCTTGTTTGTGTCTGGACATTCCACAACTTACAATCGTCAACCTGTGAAGGGTTGCAGGCGTACTGGTGTAAGTCCTCCAATTCTTCAAAATAATTCCACCAAGACATGATCCGCGAGGTTATTTGTACTGTTTGTGTATACGTGTGGTGTGTCTTCGCAATTTGTGATTTTGGATCAGTTGTGTTTACTCGTTGTTTTCGTGCCTTGTTTTTATTGCATAATTTTGTTAAAATTTTCGTCGTGATTACTTCTGAAGTTGTGTCCACTCTTCTACATCCGTGAATGAATTGATTGATGTTAGAGACAGCAGATGGGTCGTATACGCCGGGGAGGCTAGGCTATTGCTGAGAATGAAACGCACACGGAGATAATTGTTAGCTGCGGTCCGACACGCCGGGGAGAAAGAGTGTAAACGACTGAGGCTCGCATGCGTCACCGCTACTAGAACTGAGGCAGAATGAGTGACAAGCGATTTCAATGGTAATTGGTAGTGAGTAGATAAGAGGAGGTGTGTAGAGTATCGTGAGGTCCTGCCATGGTCACTTTGCATTCTGCAAGAGTCATTCTAGCAAATGGCGATTGTGTTGCAAGATGTCAAGAGGAGGTCTCTGTCTGGACGCGCAGGTCGTCATTGATGTGTGAGATTGTGCTGTGGGTATGCTTGTGGTGTGTTGGCTTTTCTGTTTGTTTTCCATTTCAGCTCTGTCCGTGTGAC